TCATTGTTCAGTTCCCACCTATGAGTGAGAACATATGGTATTTGGTTTTCTGTCCTTGTGATAGTTTGCTCAGAATGACAGTTTTCAGCTTCATCCATGTCCCTACAAAGGACATGAATTCATCCGTTTTTATGGCTGCATAGTATTCTGTGGTATATGTGTGCCACATTTTCTTAATCCAGTCTGTCACTGATGGACATCTGGGTTACTTTCAAGTCTTTGCTGTTGTGAATAGTGCCACAATAAACATACATGTGCATGTGTCTTTATAGCAGCATGATTTATAATCCTTTGGGTATATACCCAGTAATGGGATGGCTGGGTCAAATGGTATTTCTAGTTCTAGATCCTTGAGGAATTGCCACACTGTTTTCCACAATGGTTGAACTAGTTTACAGTCCCACCGGCAGTGTAAAACTGTTCCTGTCTCTCCACATCCTCTCCAGTACCTGTTGTTTCCTGACTTCTTAATGATCGCCATTCTAACTGGTGTGAGATGGTATCTCATTGTGGTTTTGATTTGCATTTCTCTGATGGCGAGTGATGATGAGCATTTTTTCATATGTCTGTTGGCTGCATAAATGTCTTCTTTTGAGAAGTGTCTGTTCATATCCTTTACCCACTTTTTGATGGGGTTGATTTTTTTCTTGTAAATTTGTTTGAATTCTTTTTAGATTCTGGATATTAGCCCTTTATCAGATGGGTAGATTGCAAAAATTTTCTCCCATTCTGTAGGTTGCCTGTTCACTCTGATGGTAGTTTCTTTTGCTGTACAGAAGCTCTTTAGTTTAATTAGATCCCATTTGTCAACCGTGGCTTTTGTTGCCATTGCTTTTGGTGTTTTAGATATGGAGTCCTTGCCCATGCCTATGTCCTGATTGGTATTGCCTAGGTTTTCTTCTAGGGTTTTTATGGTTTTAGGTCTAACATTTATGTCTTTAGCCATCTTGAATTAATTTTTGCATAAGGTGTAAGGAAGGGATCCAGTTTCAGCTTTCTACATGCCTCATTTGTAATTTAAAGTCCATTGTTATTGCTGACCAGCATTCCATTTATGACGATACCCACAATTCATGTACCTATTCCACAGTTGATGGGCAGTCCACGTTGCTTTTCCAGACAGTTGTATTGCTGAACTCCTGTGAAAGTCTCCTAATGCATTAGTGTAAGAATAAAAGGCAGTAGTCTTCAAACAGGGGTATACGTATAAGGATATACAAATGTTTCTTATGTGATATGTGGATATGTAGGGCGCAAATAGTTTTAGGGGAACCAATTTCTAAATCTTTTGCTTCTATACACACTCTTTTCTAAAATTGATCTCTCTGAGACTTTGTCAGAGACACAGGTCCTGATTTTATATTTGCTCTTTATCCTCTTCTCTGACTTTACAAAATGACATACCTTTCTCTTAGTGTTGGTCAATCTTACTATACAATGCTTTATTCTGGGGTGTAAATGCTCCTAGAGTGCTAAAGAAAGGGACAGTTTGAAATATTGCTCTAGGATAGTGTTGTGTATTATTTGAATGCTTGGTTTTATGGCTGAATTGTATTAACCCCAAATTCTTAGGTTCTAACCACCAGTAATTCAGCATGTGACTGCACTTGGAGATAGGGTCTTTAGACAGGTAATTAAGATAAAATGAGGCCCCTAGGGTAGACCCTATTCCAATGACTAGTGTCCGTATAGGAAGAGGAGATTAGGACACAGACATGCACACAGAGTGAAGACAATGTGAAGACACAGGGAGAAGACGGCCTCACCTACAAGCCGAAAAGAGGGGCCTCAGAAGAAACCAACACTTCTGACACCTTGTTCTTGGACTTCTAGCCTCCAGAACTATGAGACAATACATTTTTGTTGTTTATGCTCTCTAGTCTTTGGTACTTCATTATTGTAGCCCTAGCAAACTAATATACTTAGGTAACAAGTACTTTTGTGAGTCAGGTGGTTTAATTTTTTTATTACAACAATATTGAAAGGAAACCTGATTGAATTATGTGCAGATTGATCATTTAAAATAATCTTTTGGTGATATATATTTATGTGATTTGAGTATATACCTTGAAAGTAGTTCAAAGATTGAGTGATACTATAATAACCAAATCTCCTACATTCCCATCTTATTGATGTGAATAGATTTTCTCAGAGCTTACATCTATAGAAACAAAAAATAGATGGCCAGGCATAGTGGCTCAGGCTTTTGACCATATAGTTTTAGGTGGTTGTTTGTCATTTTCTTACTGCTTTGAAAGAATTCAGGACTTTGGGAGGCTGAGGCAGGAGGATCATTTGAGGTCAGAAGTTTGAGATCAGCCGGGGTGACATAGCAAGACCCTATCTCTACAAAAGATTAAAAAGTTAGCTGGATGTGGTAGTGCACCCTTGTAGTCCTAGCTACTTGGGAGGCTGATGTCGGAGGAAAGCTTGAGCCCCGGAGTTTGAGGCGGCAGTGAGCTAGGATTGCGCCACTGCACTCCAGCCTGGGCCAGAGGGTGAGACACACAGAGAGGGCGAGCGAGATAGAGATGGATAGAGAGATAGAGAGAGACAGACAGAGAGAGAGAGAGAGAGAAGGAAGAATGGAAAGAAATAATGCTAAACTCTTAATTCTAGCAAAAAACCAATATGAAACCATGAATTAATTAACTAATTAGTCATCTCATTAAGAAGTAGCTTATTATTATTGTGTTTAATAGTATTCAAAAATTTGGAAAACATGTTACTTTGGCCATTGTATATTATTACTATTTGCAAAGTTAACTGACTCAAAAATTGACATTTAAAGACTCAGTCACAGAAAATTTGAAAAAATTTAATTTCAGTTTATAATCATTTTTTTTACAGGCAAGAAATAATAAAAGACTTTTAGGTTTAAAAGATATTACATTAAAGAAAAGTCGGCATAAAATGTAGACTTTGAAAAGATACAGGAATGAAGAAAAAGTAACAGTGAAAACGTTTAATTTTGTTGAAGACCTTATTTATAATATTTTCTAAATAGATGTTGAATGTCAAATTACTATGCTACTTACATTCCATTGGAAATATTTAAAAGATGATGTAATAGTTTTATTTTAAAAGGCCAGTATTTGTCACATTCTGGACTTTACATCATTTGCAACTTTTTAAACTTAGGATAAATAATTTGAATGACAATTTAAAAAATTTGACAGGCAGGGCACAGTGGCTCACACCTGTAGTGCCAGGATTTTGGGAAGCCAAGGTGGAAGGATAACTTGAACTCAGCAGTTTAAAACCAGCTTAGGCAACATAGGGAGACCCTGTCTCTACAAAAAAAAAAAAAAAAAAAAAATTGGCTGGGTGTGGCGGCACACGCCTGTGGTGTCAGATACTTGGCAGGCTCAGACGGGAGGATCACCTGAGCCTGGAAAATAGAGGCTACAATGAGGTGTGATCACGCCACTGTGCTCCAGCCTGTGTGATAGAGCAAGACTCTCTCTCTCTCAAAAAAAAAAAAAAGTTTGAAGAACACTCTTTGATATTTTGGTTCATGAAATATACTTATCATTCAATTTTATAAAATAATGCCATATACATATACTGACTTGTTGATTTTTTTTTTCTTGTGTCCTCACCAACTTTTGGAATTATCAATTTATTTTTACTAATGTGGATGTCTATATTGATATTTTATTATTGCTTTTAACTTCAATTTCTCTGATTACTAATTAGATTGAGGATCTTTTCATATAATTATCAGCCAGATTGGCTTCCTTTTCCATATAGTGACTATTTGGGCTTTTGACGACATATTTTTTGGGGGGTTGTTTGTGTTTTTCTTATTGCTTTGCAAGAATTCTTGATGTATTCTGGTTACAAACCTTTTTTCAGTTATATGTGTTGAAAACACTTTCTTCCAGTTCCTGAGTTTCAATTTTATCTTCCTTACAGGATTATTTGAAAAAGAGATGTTTCAGGGCATCTTGACATCTTATTTAAGAGTTCTTCCCGCCATGTCAAAATTATGAAAATTCCATCTTCTAAGTTTCCCTTTCATATTTAATTCCTTAATCAACCTGAAATTGATTTTTATGCTCAATGTGTATGCATTCAACTTATTCATTTCCTGTGAAAAGTTGTTATTGCTCCGGTTATTGAAAGCAACCTCCTTTACCCATTCTGAGAATATTGAAGGGAAAAAAATCATACTTGGTTTCTCCTATACCTTCTCACTCAAAAATGAACTCAGAAGCCTTGTATGACCAAACGTGTGGGTTTTCCCGACATACCAGGCAAGCAATCAATTCTGCATCTGACATCAGCTGGGTATCCTCTAATGCAACTCCATTCTGACATTACCTAGAGATAGCCTCAAATACCACAGGTAAAGGGCTCAGTCCCCAAGAGTGTCCCCCTCACCCAACTTCCAATGACAATCTCAAGCCCCAGTTTGCTTGACCTGTGCTTCTGACCTACCTGCTATAAATTAAGGTTCCCATGACTCCCTCCTGGGATTAGATTAATTTGCTAGAGCAGCTCACAGAACTCAGGGAAACACGTATGTTTACTGATTTATTATAAATATTAATAGAAAAGATGCTGATGAGTGCCTGTGAAGAAATACATAGGGCAAGAAATGTGGGAAGGGGCAGGAGTTTCTATGCTCTCCCCAGGCCCACCATCCTCCACGAACCTCCAAGTGTTCACTTCTCCAGAAGGTGTTTTGAACTCAGTCCTTTCAGATTTTTATGGAAGCTTTGTTATGTAGAATTATGTAGACTGGTTAAATCACTGGCCATTGGCTTAATCTTCAGACCCTCTCTCCTTCCAGGTGGATGTGAGGGTGTGTTGGGGCTAAAAGTCTCAACAACCTAATACAGCCTTGGTTTTTCTGGTGACCAAGCCCCATCCTGAAGCTACCTGGAGGAATCCAGCCATCAGTCAACATTAGCATTACAAAAGACACTTAACACTTTGAAGAATCTAAGTAGTTCAAGAGTTTTATACCAGGAAATAGGGACTAAGACCAAATGTATATTTCACAACATATATTTGAAGACCATCCTAATCTTCCAATAAGGATTCCTTATATCAAAAGGACATACAACTTAAAAGATACCGCAGCACTCCTAGAATCTCACTGAATCATTTATAATTAATCATGTCCATTGTATAGTATAAATATGTCTCCTAGAATGAGGTCACTCAAGTTTGTAGGCTTCCATTCGATCTTGTCTGATTTCAAAAGTAGTCTCTGCAAACATAGCTTCACCTTTTCAGGCATCTGTTATCTGTTATAGTTGAGCTGGAAGACATCATCATCACTTGCTCTGATCCTCTTTTGAAGGGATAATATTGGATTCCCCTCCTTATATTATTCATTTATTAATTCCTTTAACCTCAGTGACTATTCTTCCTTCTCTTCATTTATACCCCAAATCTTCCACCTTTGGAAGCGAAGGTTTGCCTCCATTTGCCCACCTTGTCTATCTAGGTGGAAGGCAGCAATGCCAGTCTAGCCGGTGCTCCCTTTCAGTCCACTCATTCAGATAGGGTTAGGCTACACAGGCCCAAATTGGTAGGTTGTTTTTACTACCAGGCAAAACAGCTGCATTCACTGTTAACCCCAATTTTGCCAAAAGAGATGAAGGCACAACCCACTTCTATCAGGCCCATAAGGAATTCTGATATAAGGTTTATTAGGAATGAGCCACCTCTAGTTACAGCCCTTGTAATTGCAGCCCTGATCCTGTGACCACTGCATCAAGTAGGGGAACGAAAAAAAAGAGGACAAGATAATTAAAAATATATAATGCTTTATTGTCAAAAAATAGACAAATTTTAATTTCCTTTAACAGGAATATTAATTTAACAGCCTCCATAAGCCATCACCATTTTGTAAGCATAACAGGCAAGAGAATCAAAGATAACTGTTAGTGGAAAAAGGACAACAGTTCTACATCCATGCCCAAGAAGCCTTGCCCAGTCAGTGGTGACAACTCCAGGACAGCAGCAGAAACACAGTGAACCTTTGGAGCCTGACAACAGACATGCAAAATGACGTTGATTTATCTTGGCCCAATTCTATAAAGATTGGCTTTGTAGTATCTTTCCAAGCGTTTGAAGAGTTTAGTTTGTTAGAACACTTGCTAATTTGAACAGTGACATTTTAGGTCACTTATAGTATCAGTAACAGGATCACACCTGTTTTTCAGTAACACCAGGATGAATACATCTGTCCCTACATCTGTTCCAGTATGTGAAATGGAGCTAATAGCTAGGGCAGGAAACCTGAATAAAGCTCCTTATCCATAAGCCACAGCAAGGATATGAAAGCCTTGCTGAATTGAACATTGTTGAGTAGAGGCTAAATTCTCTCATTAACATAAAAAAGGAAAGAGATAATGATCTACTTAGTCGGAATAAGACAAAAAGTAAGGCTTTTATTATTCCCTAGTGACAGGTATCCAAGGTGGAAAAAATCTGGGTGCGCGCATGGTTATCTGGACTGTGAGTTTCATTCTCTAGGCTGTACTATAAACCATATTTCCATAGCCAATGCAGACTTTGTAAATTGACCCGTTTCAATAATTCAAAGTGGTAGTACACAGCTACTGCCCTTGACAATTGGGGTTAAGGAGAGATTCCTCAATTCCCAGAAAAGCCCAGAGATGAGATAATACTGTCATGGTGAAATCGTTCATATGAGATTAAGCATATGTAATACTGAAAAGAAGACAGATTACTAAGTGAATCAGAGAGGGACTAGATCTCAGAACTAATGTCCTATCCTCACAGGTATTCATCATTCACTCAGTGGATGAGTAATCAATTACACACAAAAATATCATTTCAATGTTTTGCATTTTTCTAGTTTAAAGACAATATTCAACACTTAAGAACAAGGGAAACTGAGCTTTTAAAGGCATCTAAAACAACACCGTGGTTACTGAAATGGTAGCACAAGCTTTCGTCACCTCTTTAAAACATTAGAGTGAGGAAGTCACCAAGAAACAGTGAAGCAGTTCCATTATTGCCATAATTTCTCATTCACTCTTACCTAGGGTTAAGTTTTAGTTAAATTCACCTACTTAATCCTACCCTCCTGTCTAAGAACTCTTCAAATTTGAGTCATGAACTGGTGGTGTGGGCTTCTGGAAGTTTTGATCAGCTAAGTATCATTGAGTAAGATTCTGTGATTTAAAGAATCACCCTGAAAACTTACAGAAAAAAAAGTCATATGAAAATCAAACTAGGCAAATCTGGTTTATATAGTCTATTACCAAGCCTACCTGAAACAAAATTGTGGAATCAAATGTAAAACTCAAATGGACTTCTACTTTTGCTTACCTATTCCATCCCATTCAATTCTGTACAAAAATGGGATATATGCAGAAAATGTACACTATTTCGGATCACTTCTCGAAAGGCCAGAAAATCAGCCTGTTAGCTGCAGTTGCTAAGAATGTGAAATACAGAAAGAAAATGGACTACATTTGGGGTTTCTTATTGAGGACAGGTGGGGCAAACTACAAATGACTTTAGCTGACTAGCTGAATAGTTTTACTACCCAATCATGAAATAAGCTTTATATATTTTCCCTTTTTAGGACCCTTCAATGACTGTTGTTCCAATCAGTGAATAAAGTTTTTTCTTAACAAGTCGAAATCCTGAGCTGAGGATCAGAGTTCTCCTGAAACCAGATGAGAAGCGACCCCTACTAAAGAAAAAGTCCCTGAAGCTAGTCCATGAGCAGTTCTCCTGCTTAAACACAAGTGTAAGCTCAAAAGTAGGCACCACGCTAGAATCACACACAATCCTATCCAGCTTTTTACATACATTTTCAATTTCCAAGTTCACGTGCATAACACAACCTCGCAAGCCACAGGGCTCTGTTGAGGAAAGCCGCAGGACATCTTGAGCAATTCTCTGGGTCAGTTTCTCAGGGACAAGGACCTTTGAGCAACCAAGTTTAGTTTGCTTTGATTTGGACAGACAGTTCTCCAGCATTTTAACCAAATTCTGGCAAGTTGATTCCTCAAATATTACCTCGTTGAGGTTGGGTTCAGGAACAACATAATCCCAGTAGTCAAAATCTGTAAGAAATGGAGTTTTCTTTTTAGATAAAGAAAAAAAAAATTCACAGTAGAAAAAACACACCAAGATATCAACATTGGTTACCTCTATCTACCATGTAATATAGCGAATAATTTAAGCTCTCATGAAAGTTCATGTATGAAATAAAGGTTTAGATAAATAGAGTGGATAGGATATAACTACTTTTCTTTAAATTCATGTGTGTACACAGAACACACACAATCATAAAGACTATGCATCAAAAATCTACTTGGGATTATCCCAGATTATTGGTGATTTTCTTTTCTTTCTTGCCTACTTGATTATGGGGGTTTTCTAATTTTGTTTTACAGAAAACATTTATTACTTCTGGGATAAAAAGTTAAAACTTTGTTATTTGGACTAAGGGGTTATTACTTTCTAACTGTAGGAATACATGTATTGTAAAATAAAGAATTTTTGCTATTATGTTTAAAGTCCATGAGCTTGAAGAGTTACGTTAAAGATCTATCAAATTTGTGTCTTTAAGTCTTTACTGGAGTAAAGAAAAAAAAGGTCCCAATTTTAGCTTTAACCTCTTTAATTAAAAATTGCGCAGAGAAGACCTTTGAGGTTCATGAGGATATTTATAACCGGTTGGGTGTTTTTTTCTTAGCCAAGCAAAACAAAATAGTCCTAGGGAAATAAAATTAGATTGGCTGAAAGGAAAAGAGATAGCTCTGCATTTGGTCACCTACTCCTCAAATGAATCCTACCACTTAGCAGGATTGCCACACTACAGGGAGTCAAACGAACAAGGTGCAGGCTGATGCCCTCCCAGCTCCTCTCCCTAAGCCCACTCCACCTTCATCAGCTACTGGGTTTTCCTCTCCACTTCATGTAATTTTGGAGTTCTGGCCCTATAAATTAGGTCATCAACCACTTCACCTTGAAAGGAGAAAAACACGAAGAGCCTAAGCAGTTTATCTATGCTCTTACAGCTCTAGTGGCAGAGCAGTGTGTTCACTTAGAAACTGCTGTTAAAATTGCAAATGATAGCAAATCAAGCACCACTGCTGTTCAATAGTTTCCTTCTCACATTAAAAATGGAATAATGGGTATATCCAAGACTGAAAATCCTACTCAGTAATAAACATGAACACACTGATTTAAGCAACCACATAAAAGAATCTCAAAAACATTAGGCTGCGGGAAAGAAACCAGACACAAAAGAGTACCTACTTTATGGCTCCACTTACCTAAAGGCAAAACTAACTTGGAGTGATAAAAATCAGATCAGTAGTTCCCTGGAGTCAGGGGGGAGTGAGAAATACCTAGCAAATGGGTGCGTCGGAATTCACGGGGAGGGGTGATGTTGATTACAGGGGTAAATACATTTGCTAAAACACACATAACTGTGTTCTTCACAATCATGTAAGATAAGGACCTTAATCCCCAAGAGCCTACTGGCACCAGCCTAGAAAGATGTAGCCCTTGGGTATTCTACTTTTGCTACTTTTGTTTCTAGCATGAAGAGAAGATGTTAGAAAATTTGGAAAGGATTCTCCTCAGACGGATTTTGTGGCACCCCCTACATAGAGGTAGGGGAGGAAGTCGAAAGCCCGCCCACCCGGTAGATCGAGGGGCACCGACCTTTGGAGAGGAGAAGGGTGGGCAGCGGGGACACTCACCACTTAGCAGGCTCTCTGGGTGATAGCCACAGTCCAGCAATTCTGAAATGCTGGCCGGGTTCTTACTGCTCAAACTGCCAGTTGCAACCATGGTCAACGGCTCTGTTTCCCTCGCGGGGCGCAACGGCCTTTCCTGTGCGCTGGAAAAAATGAGGCGAGAAGAGACGGATTTGCAAAAGCAGGCGAGTCGTGCAGAGACTCCTAAAATGCCCGGCGACGCGGGAGCGAACTAGCGGAGGAACTTCTTTGCCAAAGGGGAGGAACCGGCCTCTGCAACTCAAGTTGACAAAGCCCTGTGAGCAAGGCCGCCAACTACAGCAACAACCTGAAACTAACTCAACAGTTCGCAAAACTTGGAAGCGACCTGCCCCGCCGAACGGCCCCCGACCCTGCTGCCCCAAGGCCGCAGCTTCGCTCACCTGCCGGGAGTTCCCGGGGGCCGGCGCGCTCGCTGCCGGGTAAACACAGGCAGGTGCCTTCTTAGGAGTCCCCTCTCCTGGGGACTCGGTGACCTGCAGACCCCAGCAGCCAGCGGCACCCTGCTCACCCCCCCGACCACCCTGCGCCGGCTCCTAGCAGTAGCATAGCCTCCGGGGCAGCGAGAACTTTATAGGTCCAGTCCCCACCCTGCCCAGGCCCGCCCACCTGCGCCGCCCCTCCCCGGCCGGCGCCCCGCCCCTCCCCTGCCGAGTCTGGTCCCCTTTCAACCCCTACACTTCCAGGGAGCCCGAGCCTAGTCGCAGGGAGTTGAGGATAAGCCTATGGTACGGACACCTGTTGTTTCCAGGGTAGATCTCGGGCCACTGTGACCTCAATTCTGGGCGCACGACTCTTCAAAGCCTGAACCTGATTCTTCAGTGCGACCCCTCCCCGAGCACCCGAGCTTTCACACTCAGGCTGCTCCAGGCAGCAGCGGGAAGCTTTAAGCGGTCTGTGTATTTCCTTGTCCTGAGGCTTTGCTGTGTCATCCTGAACACTTGGCTTAAATCTGTTGCAACGTTCACTGAGCATCATTTATGCACTTATTTATGGCCTCTAACCCAGTCAACTCTACTCTGCCTCCCAGGGTTTCTGTATCCTCCTCTGCTGCACGCGGTCACATCAAGTTTTCCTTTCCCGCAACGAAGGCTCCTAGCATTTTAGGAAGGGCCTTAATGACCCCATGCACTCCCTTGCTCCCTGGCATCCTTCGTGCCCTTACATCTGTGACTAATGCGTTTTCTCCGCAGGCAGGGTGAGCCTAGCACTCTTCTAATTAGACCTTGCCCCAGAGCGCGGGCAGCTTGAATTGAGCGGGAGCTTGCCAAGAAACACACAAAACCATTAGTAGGATCTTAGGTACTCCTCCATCCGTGCATCATTGATAGCAATTGTCATTTCCGGAGGCAGAAGTTTCTGGAGAGCCCTGTTGGGAGGATCTTGGGTTTGGGATGTTTTGAAGAGGTTTCAGAGAATGAAGATAAAGAGTTTTATATTCTGCTGGGGATCAGCAGATAATCCCTGTGAGGCCTCCTTGCGGTCCTGCAGAGGAACACACAGAAGGGCAGAGGAGCCCTGGAAAGAGGCAACATGCCCGCACAACCCATGAGCAAGAAGCCAAACCTGAATTTTTTCTTCCAAAGTTACTAAGCCACGGTTGTCTTGCTTTGGTGTGCCAGTAGGAGATGATCTGTTCAGAGAGTCAGCTTGGGGTGGGTTAGGGGATGCCTGGAGGGAGAAGGTTGTTCCTACTGTAGAGATCCTAGTGTTGGCTCCCAGGTCCTCTAGGATTATGTGTAGAAGGATTTGCAGGTTAGAGCCTTGAAAGGCAGTTTCAGCTGTCCTGGCATAAAACTCTTAGGAAAACAACAACCCGAGGGGTATAGAGGGTGTGATAAACAGATCAGTGGGAGGACATTCGGAGGCAGAGCAGCAGAAATTAAAGCCAGCTTGACAGTCCATTTTTAACTCAGTTCAGGCAGCTGCACTGCCTGAAGGTCAGGCGAGCCAAGGAAGGAGATGTTGATAGGCTGGTCTTTGAAGGCCAGTTTCCACTTCTACTTCAATAAACAGAAAAGTGGGAAATAAACAAGCCCGTTTAAGCCAATTAAGAAGCGGTTTCAGTGGCTAGTGTGTTCAGGACCAATGGATGGGCCCCTGGTCAGGTGTTGGATGCCAGCTGCCTGACAGTCAGTCCCTGGGCAGGCCACAGAGCCTCTTGTCCTTCCTGGGCAGCATTACTAATGAGGCTGCCACTTACCTGCCTCCAAGGAGAATTATTAGAATTAATATAATGAGTGATCTGAACCAATGCTAGCGAAATAAAGAAATTACTAGTTTCAATTTCCTTAGGGTATTTAGGCATAACTCATAAACTAAATGCCTCCATAGAGCCAGAAAGTTTATTGGAACTTATGGAAAGTAGTAGTTGCTCTTGGCTCACCTGACTAACTGAAATTTTGCAAAGCCCTTTGGGATGTGACTACAGAAAACAATTTACTTATGTACAAAAGACTTCAAATAATATCTTCTTGGCTGAATGGGCCTTGCTCTCAGGACTTTAGGTCATAAGGAATGATTAAGGTAAAACACGTACCTGGAATAATTAAGAATGTCCTTTTTTATGTACTTACAAGTGTAGAAAATCCATTCTATCACTAGTTTGCATCTTCGCAAGGTTAAATAGAACTGATTTTTTTTTTTTTAATTGAAGCATGGAGAAGATTTAAGAAAAACTAAGTGCCGTTATAGGCTAAGTGTAAGGTGACACAGTCTATCAGATTTCAGAAAAATGTGGATACAGTCAATTATTTATTACTGAAAGTTCATCACATTAGGGAACTTCAGGTGTTTATTAAGTGCAGTGATAAAGAAGTTTGTTTTATTGCTCTTTCATTATATTCTCTAATACTATATAAACAGTTCATGGGAGTGCTTACTGGAAATAGTTGTGTATGAATAGAAAATCTAGTCAGTTAAATAATTTGATTTCCTTTCGTACACCAGTGTATTATGACAAACTAAATCATAAGCAAAGCCTTTAACTTAAGCATGCTTGCTTTTTTATTACTATAATTCACTCATCCATCTTCTTATATAAAGAAAATGAGATAGCAGTAACAGCTGGCAACAGTATGTTCATCTGATGTATTTGCAAATATTTAAGTTCTAGGCTTCCTCAGGTATAAATATAGTATTCATAATGTCATTGCTTACCTAAAGTATGAATTCACAATGCCAGGGATACTGCAAAAACAAAAAGCAAAACTGATGCTTTCATGTATTATTACAGGAAATGTTGGTGTCTTTTGCATTTGTGATTTGGAGTGTTGAATGTTTATTACGTGTTTCACTAGCCACCTTTCTGTCTTTATTTGGTATGAATCACTTATTTTTGAATCTTATTAATACATTTACATTCCACATATTGCTTATTTTATTTCATAAACTATGACACCTGAGGGAGAATTACTGGGTTTCTTAATCCGTACAATTCAGGGAAAACTTATAGGACATGGAAATTGATCTATACATTAGCAGCAAGCTCATGGGATTGTTGTAAGGATTAAAAGAGAAACCCTTAAAATCAATGCTAAATATTATCTCTTTTTCATAAACAAATATGAGATCTTTAAATGCATACTATCTCTGGATTCCTTTAGTTGTGCTAAGTTTGTAAATTTGGTGTCCCATGCAAAGTGCTTAGAACCAAACTAATACTGATATTAAGCAAGAGCTTAATGAGTGATATTATTATTATTGCTGTTGTTATATTCTGAAATTGTAGTTCTCTGAGTCAGCGCAACATGCAAGTGGCTAAATGGAGTTGGGGAAGTACTGTTAAAGTGTAAGAAAATTTATGATCTTTCCTGTTTGCAGGAAATCTGGAAAGTATTGCTACTGATTAGGAAAATCTTTTTTTATTATAATACATCCATCGCTGTATGGGAAAGCAGGAAGGGATCTGCCAATGATACGTAACAAAATAATGTGGGTAAAAAATTATCTTGGTGTAAAACACAGAGTTTTATATGTTAACTTTCCTCTTAATCTAGAAAATACTTTTCAGGAAATAAATAACATTTACAGACAATTGAATTGAAACTATTGACTATAGAGTGATGCAGTTGTTTCAAGATATGTATGATCATCAAGATATGTATGATCATCAAGATATGTATGATCATTCAAGATATGTATGATCAAAGTAAGATATTTAATCATACTTTTAATTTGTCTTTGAGGGTGCATCACCCAGTACAATTTCCATTTAATGATTAAATATTCAATATGACTTATTCTATTAAGTAAAGTAACATGGAAACTTGTCTAGTATAAGACAAAAACCGGCCGGGCGCGGTGGCTCAAGCCTGTAATCCCAGCACTTTGGGAGGCCGAGATGGGCGGATCACGAGGTCAGGAGATCGAGACCATCCTGGCTAACACGGTGAAACCCCGTCTCTACTAAAAAAAAAAAAAAAAACTAGCCGGGCGACGCGACGGGCGCCTGTAGTCCCAGCTACTCCGGAGGCTGAGGCAGGAGAATGGCGTAAACCCGGGAGGCGGAGCTTGCAGTGAGCTGAGATCTGGCCACTGCACTCCAGCCTGGGCAGCAGAGCGAGACTCCATCTAAAAAAAAAAAAAAAAGACAAAAGACAAAAACCAGGCCCAATATCTAAAATAATACATAATGCTTGCTATTAAAAGCTGAGAAAGTCTTCCAGTAACAGAAGGAATTGCCTCTCTTTTTAAGCAGAGAAATAGTTACCATAGCAGCTTGTCTCAATATAGTTGTATGATTTTGTTCTCTTCATAAACAATGCTGTGTATTATCAGTCTTTAAATATAGACAATATGTTTAAATGCATACAATATCTGCTTTTCCTTAATTATGGAAAAATGTGTAATTCAGGTGACTATATCAGAGGATGTCAGCCAGGAACATGAAGTGGGTCCTTGACATTTGTCTAGGGGTGCATCTTAAAACCTTTACAAGTTCCAAATTTGAGAATACCACTATACCATACCATTTTTCTGGAATTTTAATGTGCACCAAGAAATGAGGAAAATAAAGCTACATGCTCGTGTCGATGTTGGGTTCTTCACTGCTTTCCCCTCCTGTACCAGCCAAGTGTCCTATTTTGGTGGGCCAGCCTTGTACAGCTTTTGTCATTGACATTTGTATCCTAGCAAAACTACACATTACTTCTTGACATAAACCCGTGGGGTTGCTCAAGAAGAGAATTGAATCTGAGAATGCCTGAGTGTCGACTAGATATGGAATTCTGCACGGTACTTTTTAGAATGAGATCTAATCTCCATTCTGCAGATTTAAAGCACATTAAGGTTAAGAAACTTGACTAGTCCAGAGTGATTCAGTTTTTTCATCTTCATGGTGTAGTAGTTAGTTGCATGAACTGTGGAGCCTAACTCCTAGCAGTGACAATTTACTAGCTGTGTAAACTTGGATTAGGTACTTACCATTTCTGTGCCTCTATTTGCACCTTTAAAATGGGAATTATGGGGAAGGAAGTGAGAGGGAGAGATTTGTTAAAGCAGTGGTCCTCAACCTTTTTGGCACCAGGGACTTGTTTCGTGGAAGAGAATTTTTCCACGGTTGGGGATGCG